TATGGGGTATTCAGCTCCTTTCACATTGCTGTACAGAATTTGCCAATTGAAAGCAACTAGAGGGTTAACCAGTGTTAGCTTTCGGTTTAGTTAGCTTTAAAAATAGCTAAAATGCATTTTAGTTACACACAAAATTTTTTTAAATTGATTTATATACTTAATAACATTTTAATACCCTGTACCCAAAGCGTTAACGGTACTGGCAAAGCCTATTTTATACATAAATATAAGATTAGAATCAATATAGACATTTATGTACTAATGTACGTCTGTCTGTCCGTATGAACCCCGATAATTTTAGAACTACCGCAGTTAGGGCCCCCATACATGGAATGTAGACTTGTCTTATACATTTACGCAGAGCAATTTTATTAAAAACCATATGACTGCACGGTGGATAACTTTTTATTTATGAAAACATCTTTAGAAAATTTGCCATTTAATTGTTTTTTGTGCTGCTTCATAATATTCAACATCGGTGCACTATATCTTAGAAACGATCGCTTGGGAAATAAATCTTAGAATTGCAAATGTTTCTATTTATTTCGATATTGCAACAAAATTTTGTATTCAGTAGTTTTTTATAGTTCCCCACAGTAATCGAAAAAAATTGCTTGTAGTTAAAAGGCTGTAGCTGTAAAAAGAGTGGGTTTGGGGGTACAGGGTATTCAAGAGTCGGGCTGGCACGACTTCAATGATTCAACTCGTTTAAGAATAGATTCTATTTTATTTCCTTAATATCCAAATGGTTGAAACTAAAAGAAAACTATGGAAATAATTTTCAATTCTGATCTTTTTGAAAGAGTTGAATTATTCAATCAATAGTATCCAATCCTCACAATAACAAGCACACCCATATTTGCGAAATTGTTTGATAGTCTTGTTTTTAGAATTGTAGAAATCGTGAAAATTTGCATATACCACTATAAATACATACACATATAAATATATAGATATACAAGAAACTGTATGTGTGTGTGTGTGTGTGGGGGGGGGGGATGATGGCGGGCTGGGAGGGAGCTCTGATCCCGAGACGGCCATCAGCCCAACTTGCATGCCTATATTTATGAAATAGATAAGTCGAAATAAAGCATTACCTCATACTTTAAATACTGATGATGAGAATGGCAGTCCAGACTATCTCATTTGTGCTGCACAACTGGGCGGAGAGACAGACAGACAGACAAGCAGACAAACAGAAACCTAAAAGAAACCTAAACTATACTTGATTTTAAAACCGATTGTCTGTTGTCTAACCTCGGTCATATATCGAGGTTTTATGTCTTTGGCCGATGCGAAAGCCATAATTGTGGATCGGATAATTCAAACTATACTCATATACATACATACATACATTTGTACATAAGTACATGAATTTTAAAGTCCGCTTGATTGTCACATATTTTCCACTCTATTCCATATCTAGCGATGATCGTTAAGGACATATGTACTATATACAAGTAGTAAGGAACTCCGAAATGAAGACAAATCTATATACAAACTAATTTGATTTCACTTGTTCTTAGACTTAACTCAAATAGGTACTACTTATTTCCGTTACTCATCGCTATTGTACATTTTTGCACTGTAAAAAATTGAAAGCAGCTTGATAATGAATTCAAAACAAAAACAAAAGCAACAACCGCATGTTTTCTATATACATACATATATAGAGCTAAAGAAAGGAACTGTAGTTAATGCCTAGATTTCAACAGCAGGATAACAAATCGAAATAAAATAAAATTTTTGTAAAAAGTAAAAAAAACCATTCAAATAAAATGAAAAAAGCTTAGGATTTTAAATTTTAAACGTACATGAAAATAATAAAAAAAAATACATATATATACAACACACACACACACACACATAACAAACAATATATATACAATGAAGCGACGTTATTTATACATATACATACATATATATACACATATATATATATACGCCTACAGAAACATGCAAGAAAAAATCTATTATATACAATATATATATACATACATATAAATATATATACAATACTTATTTACATTGCATATTTTAGCGTTTTATTCGAAAATGAAATTAATGAAAACTAAATTTAAAAATAATATTAAAAAAAACAACAACAAAATATGCGAAGTGTTCTATTTAAGTGAAAATATTTATACAAGTCATGAAGGCAACGGTAAATGGCAGCCATGTTGAAAGCTTAAACAAACAATAACTAAACAAAAAAAAGATAAAATAATAAAAAAAAAACCCAACAAGAACATTTTTTTACAACGCTGTAAATGTCAAGCAAGCTCTACTGTAGACAACAAATGAAAACAAAAACTAATTGTAATATTTATAATATAATTAAAGTTTTATAATTAAATTCGGCTCTTGTTTTTTGCGCGCCTCCTAACACTTACTCTCCCTCTCTATCTCTCTCTCTCTCTGTATCACGCTCTCTATCTCTCTCACGCTCCCCACAACTGCCACCGCACACTCTCAAGCACAGCACTTGAATTCAAAAAAACCGCACTGCTTTAAGAAGTTTCTTTATAACACACACACACACACACACACTGCAGACACACACACACACACACACACACACACAGAGCCACAATCTCACACACATACAGCGACGCTGAAGTGCTTTAAAAATACATACATATATGTACATATGTATGTATGCATGTGACAAGTTCTTTTGGATACATACATACATATATTGAGAACTTTAAGTAAATTGTAACATTTTTGTAAAACAAACAACAACAAAAACAAAAGAAACAAACAAAACTCTGCCAAACAACAACAACAAGAAGAACAACAACAAAAAATCTAAAGCCCCCAAAAAAAGAAGAGAAGAACTTTGAATTAAATAGCAACAAATTGTAAACATTTAAATCAATTTAACAAACAAATAAAATAGAGCGAAACCGAAAAACAAATGATAAAACCAAATCTAATATATTTAATTAAATATACATAATAGAGAACTAACAAACAAATTGAGAAAAATAACGCAAATGCTTATTTTATATATTCAAACATACAACAATAAACGAAATGACCATTGAAAGATTTATCCATACAGCATATAAAATTCGAAATCGAGAATCTACACATAATGTATATGTACGAGTATATATATACATACATATATGTATATTATTTTTTAAACTGTGCAGGAAGCATAAATGACAATTTTTCAAATTTTAATGATTTTCAAAGGAAGAAAGAAAAGGCAGCAGACACAGAAAAGCTAACAAAAAACGCGCATAATTATTAATTAATTTAATATGCAATATACTATATATACATTATAAATATAGTATATACATATATCTACTATATTATTAAATCCCAAAAAAAAAACAACCAAAAAATGCGAAATTAAATATATACAGTAAAGAGAAAACAAAAGAAATAAATTTTAAAACAATGAAACAAAAAACAAAAGAAAACACTCAAATAAAACAAAAAACAACAAACAAGCAAAAAAAAACATAAACAATATTGCAGTTAATTTTTCATTTGTTTTGGGAATTATCGCGTGGGCGTGACTTGCGTGACACATTGGCTGTGGCTCACGTGCTCATTACACAGCAGCTGTTGGTTGTCGATGGCTGCTGCTCTTATCATGGCGTTGGCAACATGTTGAGAAACTGATGTCGGCGCGTGCGTTCTCAGATGTTGCTATTGCTGCTAATGTTACTGTTACTGTTATAGGCGTGTGTCAATTGATGCCAAGGCCGTTGTGTGTACTGCAGCAACAGTTAGATTGTCTAAATGTGTATGTATGTGTATGACGACAAATGTTGCCAAAGCTGCCAAAGCAACAACAGTTCGCAACAAGAACTGAAATATGAATCATGATTATTAAGCCGCTACTCTAATAACACTCCAAGAACAACTCCATATTTTATTTAATTTAAGCAACTATTATTTTCGCAAATTATTCTAAATGTACAGGGCTGTTCCTGTTTTGTAATTACGATTTTTCTATTTTGGCTTTCGCTTTAAAGATTACATTTCGATCATTTTTAGCCACAGTCTTTAAATATATAGAAAAATAAATGGTTTGAATTCGAATTGAGAACTCAGCTCGATTTCACTTTATTTTAATTTCATTTATTCACACAAATTGGCATCATAAATTGGTGTGTAACTATAATTAGTTAAATACAAAGAGTTATAAAACCTTATCAGCTTAAATATATATCTAGAGTGTGTTTTTACAGTTTATGAGTGAACGGACAGTTTCTAATATGTACAAAAAGCGGGGGAAAAATGTAATCAAAAACCTATGTACGATTAGTCAGCTCGATTTGAATTCGAATCAAGCTTTGTTTTCGTTCTTTATCAATCAAATTAGTCGCCAGATCTGGTGTAAAAATTGTGGTTTATATATAAAAGCTGAAAGTGTAAAAATTGTGGTTTATACATACATATATAAAAGCTAAAAGAATTACCATGATGTGAAAATTTTGATCAATTTTCTTTCGCCACTTTTTTTCTCCTAATTAAGATTATACATTTCTAATCATGTATGCGTGTATGTAATTCTATCTATTGAAAAAATGTTGTGCATGATTTTTGACTCGGACATTTGTATGTACATATGTACATATGTATAATTAATATTTTGGGTTCTTTTAACCAATACTGAGCGGCGATTTATAGCGCATCACTAGATGTGCCCAAAAGCGCGTTGCGCCAAAGTTGCTGCCGTCGCCGTCGCCGCTACTGCCTGACACTGCTAGGCTATACTCGTAGCTAGCTGTTATCACACTAACACATTAATAACAGTGACTGTAATTGTAACAGTACCACTAACAGTAACAGAGACGGACTGAACGCTGCTGCAGCAGCAGTAGCAGTAACAGCAACAGCAACAACAACATAAGACACTGTAGGCAACCAGCTGTGGCTATTCGCTGCTATCGTCGCTGCCCGCTGCCACCGCCACCTCGGCCACTGTTATAAAAATGCTCAACTCTCCCACAGAATTAGTCATTCGGCAACAATTTCTAAGCACCTAAAGACGTCGACGTCAGTCAGTCAGGCCAGGCAATACAGGAGGAGCATTGCCAAAAAGTCGAAGCCAACAAATCAGTTGACTTGCAGCAGCAGTCCTTGCCGGCGACACGTGCTCGCACACACAACAACAACAAAAGTACCTTTGTTTTTTGTTTGCATCTAAAAGTGCGCGCCGCTAAAAATCGTTCCAAACAAGTGTTTCAAAAAAAAAAAAAAAAAAAAAATTGTAAATTTTCACAAAATGCCTTTCACATGCGAACAACAAATGCAAGCTGTGGGCAGCGAGCAGCTCTGCAAATCGGAGACCATTAAGCTGCGCAACAAGCACATCGGGTTAGTATTAAATATAAACACACACTCACACACACACACTCACACACACACACACACACACACACACACACACACACACACTCACTCACTCACACTAACATACACTGGCATGCACATAAAATTTTTAGTTGTGTAAGTCCTAAGGTTTTAAGTTCGAGATGCAAAGAAGGAAACAGTTTTTGTTCTAGCGCTTTTACAAATTTCGCTGTCAAGGTCAAGCAGCCACCGCCAACGCCAAAATCACGGCCATGGCCAAAACAACAACAACAACAGCAGCCGCCACAAAATACTGCATTCATTTTTCGCTCGCTCTCATCGGTCGCTAAAAAATTTCCCTCAATTCTGTTGGCTGGGTATGCAAATGTTTGAAAATGCCTTTTGTTTACCCATGCCCAAAAATTTTGGGTTTATCGATTTTGTTCTGAAAAGGATAAAACTTCAATTAGGCGTCTGTCGTTCCCCAAAAAACATAAATAAAAAGCAACTGAGGGCCTTCAGAAAAAACTGCAGCTCAGCCTTCTTCGATTGTGACTGACATGAAATACTACTCTATATATACCACTATATGTCCGACTTTTAAATTTTCTCAGCGCACCAAAATATAGCTTTTTATACCTTCTTAAGGTTTCTCTCTTAAATACTTGTGAAGATAATTTTCTTTAACTTAAAACTGCAGAACTCGTCCAACTATTCTTAAAATGGCAATTTTTTAAATTGTTGTTATAAAGATTCGTTGCTAATCCCTAAATTTCAGACTTAAGTAACAAACTTATGAAATGTAAGTCAAGCAAGTGTTCGAAATCAATAAGTTTTTAAAAAAGAGAGTTTTCTAAAACTGAAAAAGCAATGCAGAAGGTATTATATATATGTCGATTGCAAAAATATACGTACATATACTTACTATATAAAAATGAAAACATTTGAACTGAAACTGAAAATATAATTTGAAAAGTATTGAAAATTCTAAATGGAAACACGTACCATTCAAATATATAATCTATTAAGTTTGAAATCGACTTTAAGAAATAGGTAACCCGAAGGTTCGGGAATACAAAAAAATAGGATTTTGCGCAATACCGAAGCCGACAACTTTGTATCGATTGGCAAATAATATTTGTAGAGCTGTAGACTAGAAATATATGGCATGTACCTAAGTCGTAAATGTAGCTGCTTAGATGCGTAGATCAGGTCTAGATCGGTCTAGTTGTAATCGCAACGTGCTGTTTGCCAGAGCTATGACGACGGCTGGCTACATTGTTGGGCCACAAGTCTCTGTCTTCGTCAACTCAATAACTGCGCAAATTTGTGGCTGCAAGTTGAATTGCATTGAATATGATTTGTTATCGGGCGATAACGAAATTGCGCCCTTGTCTGTTTAAATAGCTAAGTCTAAGCCGCCACAAACATGCCTATCTATTTAACTAGTTTTCCCATTTTCATTACATTGTCCATGCCAACAACAATTATAGCAACATCCATAAAAATATAACAATATTCATTTCTCTTCTCTTCTCTGTACTGCACACTGCACCTTCCAACACTGGCACAAAACATCCGCAAAACCCCCAGGCAAGCCTGTCAACTCTTCTATCGCTCTGATCCATTGAAAATTGTCCGCGGACAAGGTCAATACATGTTCGATGAAGAGGGCACTCGCTATTTGGACTGCATTAATAATGTGGCGCATGGTAAGTGCTTTCAAAACACATCTACTATCTATTTACATATAACTAACCAGCTTATTAAGTTTTGAAATCAAAAAGAAAACTCCTTGTTTAGATTTCCACCAATTCTAATACAGCACAGAGTATGCATTTTCTGTTCTAGGTTTCTGTCAATTTCTAAAGCAGTACGTAGTTTAACAATTCTTTTCTACGCTTCCCCAATTTCCAGAGCAGTACAAAGCATAATAAATAGTTGGAAAAAGTTAATAATTCTATAGTTATGAAATGTCACGCCTTCTTTGAATTCTTCTCATTCTCTTAAAAATTGCTCTTTCTTTGAATCTGAAGCTTGAAATCCGCATTCATCTTGATTAATATTTTTTGTAAGTTAATCTTCATTATTTCTTTTTTGTAAGTTAGGAAATGCCCAACTCGTCTCCTCTCATCCTAACCAGAAGTATGCACTTTTTCACAGTTCCTAATTTCTTACTTTTATGTGAAATGCTTTCACTCACATTTTGAAGTTCAAGTTGACACGAGTATTGCGGAATAGCATCCGCCAAAGACAGCGTCATTACTAGGCTCATTCACATTAATGGGATCATTTGTTTTGCCTATTTTGGGACACCGAGACAACACCATGATCATTCAAATTTGTTATAGAGCAGCGCCCCATACCCATTTGGCATCATCAGGCCCCGATTGCGTTTCTTAATTCGCTGCTTGTTGCTTGGCTGGCTGGCTGGCTGGCTGGCTGGCTTAGTCAGCTTATCGTATTATTATTATTATTGGGTCTGGACCGGGGCCGGCCGACGACGTTGTTGCTGGCGTTTAGATGTTGTCCGTTAATTTCGGGCCCCGACTGAATGGGAAACTTATCGTTATGAGGTCTATGTACGTGTGTTCCTTAGTGTGTGTGTGTGTGTGTGTGTGTGTGTGCTCATCAACGTCAGGCCCTGTCGTGTGCTTGCTATAATAAACTTTTATTATATTTGATTCGCATTTAAACAAAAGTATTTGTTATTTATATATTTATATGAGACTAGTGATTACAGATTGTGTGTGTGCGCTGTTCGCTGTTCGCGGGGGTCAGATTCTGATTCGACACATGCACGAAAATAAAAACAAATGATGCTTATAAATAAAAATAAATTATAACGATGACTGACAGACGCGCAAATTTGCCAATTGCGACAAAATTGTAACACACTGTGGCATCACTTTTCCCTTGGCGGAATTTTCCACTGCATTTGCAAGCACACCCACACACACACACACACACACACACACACACACACATGCATACATAAGTACATGCATGCAGAGAAACATGTGTATGCTGGCTGCTCTCACGTGCTGTCGTCGCACTGTTAGCGTGCGTTATGTAAACACAAATTGCAGCGGCTGTTAACTATCAGCTGTGCATTTAGCATTCTGTATGGGAACGGGGAACGGGAACACAGGGACTGAAGACAACAGTGAAAAGCAACAGAGAGGGTCGGTCAACAGCTGTTAACGACTGAGCGCCTGATGCGCAGCTTCACTTGAATGGAAAAATTTTCAGGCACTAGGGGGCCTACGCACATCCGCAAACACACACACACACATACATACATATGTATGCAATTACAATGGCAATTTTTTCAGCATGTGAAAATAATGTTGTCAAGCTGCTAGCCCGATAAGACAAGCAACGCACGAATACACACACACACACAAACACAAATACGCACACATTTTGTTAAGCTGTGGACTGCAATACTTGTAGATTAGTGTTTCGTAGAAGACTTCAAAAAAGGGGTACAGTTTGTGGATTTTATTACAAAACTAAAGCTGACCCCTGAATGGGTTAAAGAGTTTCCAAAATGTGCTTCAACTACAAAATTGAAGGAGAAGTTCATATTAGTTGTGTCCATAGAAGGAGAGAAATTAGTTGATTTTAAGTAAAACAGCTTAAATAAAGAAACATCTAAGGCTATGCTTTCTTGCAAAATTTTATTTAAAAACGAATAAACTAATTGGCTTTCGAAAATAATTGTCATGGTTAAGTAGACTGAAGAATGTTTGATCTTAATTCTGGAAATTCTTAGACTACAAAGCCATCAGTTGAGTTTGGTCTTGAAAATGTAGTAAAGAAACATCTTAAGCATAGCTCCTTTCTTGCAATATTTTATTTAAAAACGAATAAACTTATTGGCTAAAAATAATAAAACAAGGCACTGTGGACTTTAAAATGACTTTCCTTTCTTTGCTTAAACTTAAGAATGTTTTACCTCAATTGTGGGAATTCTTAAAGCTTTCACCATAAGTGTATGGTCCTCAAAATTGTTCGACTGTCTCAGCCCTAGTTTCTGGAAAACTATAAGAGCTACTACGAGTATGTATAGCTGGCAGAATAATTTAATTACATTTTTATTTGAGCAATTTGCAAATTCGATTGCCTCCACCTTGGAGGAGGCACCTAATCGTCAATCACTTGATCGCCTGACTCACTGATGCCTTGTCTATTGTGATATGAACTGAACCGAGTTTATGTAACTTGTTTACATTTCCTACCTTTTAAATGCTATCACAAATCCATGACAAAGTGTGAAATCATTTTCAAGACATCGCCCACCAACCAAACAACCAACCATCTACCAGCTTACCAACCGATCGACGACCGTTCAACCAATAAACAAATAAACAAATTGAAAAACGTGATAAGACCTGCTGTGCACGTGTTGAACGGCCCGTCTGTTGTCCCTCAAATAAATATACCTACAAATGTATGTAGTAGTATTTACTTTTATTTGCTTTCCCGCACGAGTGTGTGCGCCACTTATGTCTATCACACGAGAACTTGTTGTTGTTTACAACGATCTCACAAAAGTTAACACTCACATCCAACTCCCCTCCCCCCTCCTCCACTCTATACACATTTCTAATACACGGGTTTGTCCGCACACTTTTGTTATGTGATCTCGTGCTAGTTTCTCGATTGCGGGGCCCACTCTACAAATACTATATATATACATATAGTGTCTTATGCTCGGACTACTAGTGTTATCAGCACGCACATGCAGTGCCAGAGAAACATGTGAACGTCTCGTGCCGAGTGGAAATGTACTTGAGATAAGTGCGGAGAACTAAAAACAGGCGTCTAATAAACAGACACACACACACACTGCGATTGATTGACTGACTGACTGGCTTTAAAACTAATGCAAGTCCATAGTGCGACCCGTACGTCCAGTTGTCCGTCTGCTTGTGCCCATAGTCTAGTTTCAATATTTGTTAGCGTTAAACAAGTCGAGCAATCAGCTGGCTGGCTGGCTGGCTGGCTGGGTCGTTGCTAATGGAAAATTCTGTGCAGATAAATTGAAAATAAAAAAATATTCTATATATACTTGTAGTATATACTGGCACTCCGATGTACTCTGTCTGTACGTCTCGAACGTTGCCGTTGGACGCCATGAAAAGGCGGTCAAACGTACACATACTTGTAGGCGTTGTTGCGAAAAGTGTCAATCAACAAGACCGCACCTGGGCGACACTCGACTACAAAGTCTATCAATTGCCTCCAATAACCCTCGACTGTATTTTTTAAAAATTCTCTAAGCTCTCAAATGTCGTTCAAATTGTTCTTTGGGGTCTACCCATGCCCCAGTTACTAAAGGTATTGCATATGAAATATGTTAAATATGTAAACCCATTCTGAGAATGGGGATCTGAAAATCCAAGTCCCAAGAGATTGCTCTTTTCATTAATTCTATATATAATTAAAGAATTCTCCCAAGTTAATGCGTTCATCAACTTTGTTGAGTGGGGGTTTCTTTGCTCAATCGCTTGGGGCCTAAAAATAAACGTACGATTCACGTGATCACAAAAATATGGCGAGTGATTAGCACTAATGCCAACACCAATATCAACACCAACGCCTTCGCCTACGTCTTATCAAACGTTTGCGCATCGCCGGACCTGTTGATGTGCTTAAGTATTAGCTGGCACTCACTGTTTGTTGTTGAATTGCTCAAATGGGTGACAGGAGAAGTGCGAGAGAATAGCACAAAGCGCAAGCAATCTGATGACGGACAGGCCCGGGTCCACTCGACTCAGGCCCCGGCACCAGTTACGGGCGTGACCAGAGAGGTAGCATAACAGAGAGCTGACGATAAGAGGGCTGCATCGCCTCGTATCGCCTGCTTCTAGTTTTTGGGGGTCAATACTCAGTGGGACGTCTGGCATTGATGAGCACCCATGTGCGAATATTTCATTTCACTGACGTAGTGATGAAGACTTTGCGCGACTGCCGGATGACGTGTAAATTGCCGAATGGGGGTAGTAAGAAACGCCCGATGGCCAAACAGGTACTTAGCCGAGTGGCTCTATTTTAAGACATGACAGAGGTCAACGAGTACTTTTTATTATCATTGGGACAACATTGAGTGATAGGGGAGGGACAGGGCTCTGTGACGCAAACCTTTATTATAGATTTTATAGAAGTTCGTATACCTTTGTTAAAATACGAGTAAATAGACGAAGATTAGTAAGACGATTCAGACTAGACCTTGTTGTCTGGGTTCCCTAAATAGTACAGTCTCTTCCTCTTGAGGGGGGAAACTTTATTATCATTGGGGCACTATTGTGTCAAAGAGAAAAGACTGGGTGTGGGTAATACTCGGTGATTATTACCTTTATTGTAGATTTTATAGAAGTTCGTATACCTTTGTAAAAATACGAGTAAATAGATGCAAATAAGACCTTGTCTGGTTCCCCTACATAGTACAGTATCTTTCTCTTGAGGGGGGAAACTGTATTATCATTGGCACAACATGATGGCAACACTCTGTGACGCAAACCTTTACTGTAGATTTTATAGAAGTTCGTATACCTTTGTAAAAATACGAGTAAATAGATGCAAATTAGATCTTGTCTGGTTCCCCTACATAGTACAGTATCTTTCTCTTGAGGGGGGAAACTGTATTATCATTGGCACAACATGATGGCAACACTCTGTGACGCAAACCTTTACTGTAGATTTTATAGAAGTTCGTATACCTTTGTAAAAATACGAGTAAATAGACGAAGATTAGTGAGCCGATTCAGGCTAGACCTTGTTGTCTGGTTCCCCTAAATAGTACAGTCTCTTCCTCTTGAGGGGGGAAACTTTATTATTGAGTTAAAGAGGAAAGACTGGGTGTGGATAATACTCAGTGATGCAAACCTTTATTATGGATTTTATAAAAGTTCGTATACCTTTGTAAAAATACGAGTAAATAGATGCAGATTAGACCTTATCTGGTTACCCTGCATAGTATAGTCTCTTCCTCTTGAGTTGGTTGGTTTGATAAAAGATTCGTGAATAGAAGAGAGTAGCACAAACAACAATTATAATTTAGTAAACAAATTATTTGTGTCTTAATCCTAATTTGTGCTCTTTCTGCTCTTCTTCTTGCAGTTGGTCACTGCCATCCGGAGGTGGTGCGTGCTGGTGCTCTTCAAATGGCCACCATCTCGACCAATAATCGTTTCCTGCACGATGAGCTGGTGCAGTGTGCCCAGACGTTGACTGCCAAGATGCCCGCCTCCTTGTCCGTGTGTTTCTTTGTGAACTCCGGCTCGGAAGCGAATGACTTGGCTTTGCGTTTGGCACGCAACTACACGAAGCGGCGTGATGTCATCACCCTAGACCAGTGAGTATTTCAGATCAGGTATATAGCGGGTCGACAAATATAACATTTTCTTTGCTTTTTGTGTTTTATTTTTGCAGCGCTTACCACGGCCATTTGCAGTCCGTGATGGAGATTTCGCCGTACAAGTTCAATCAGCCTGGTGGCGAGCCGAAGCCCGATTATGTTCATGTCGCCCCCTCGCCGGACTCGTACGCCGGCCAATTTACGGACAAGCTCTATCCGGGCGCCGATCTGGGTGCTTTGTACGCCCAACCCATTGCAGAGATTTGCGAACGCCAGCAGGCCAAGGGCCAGGACGTGGCTGCCTTCATTGCTGAGAGTCTGCAAAGCTGTGGTGGTCAGATTTTGCCGCCACCCGGTTACTTCAAGGCCGCCTACGATGCGGTACGAGCCGCTGGCGGTGTCTGCATTGCCGATGAGGTGCAGGTGGGATTCGGCCGCGTGGGCACCCACTATTGGGCCTTCGAGACGCAAGATGTGGTGCCCGACATCGTGTGCGTGGCCAAGCCCATGGGCAATGGTCATCCGGTGGGCGCAGTCGTAACAACCCCGGAGATCGCGCAAGCCTTCCACGCCACTGGCGTCGCCTATTTCAATACGTATGGCGGCAATCCGGTTTCGTGCGCCATTGCCAATGCCGTGATGCGGGTCATCGAAGAGGAGGGTCTGCAGGAGAACGCCCGCAGACTTGGGGACTACCTGCTGAGGCAGTGCAACGAGCTGAAGTACGAGTTCGACTGCATTGGCGATGTGCGCGGCGCTGGACTGTTTGTGGGCATCGAGCTGGTTAGTGATCGGGAGGCCCGCACTCCCGACACCAACGGCGCCCATTGGGTGGTCAACCGGATGAAGCAGCTCCATCATGTGCTCGTCTCCTCAGACGGCCCCAACGACAATGTTATCAAGCTAAAGCCGCCCATGTGCTTCAATGAGGCGAATGCCGATGAGTTTCTGCTCGCCTTCCGGGAGTGTCTGGCCTGCCTCTGCAGGGATAGGGAGGTGGAGGCGGCCAGCGTTGCTGTGGCGCCTGTGATGGGCATGACGAATGGAGTAATCGCTACGGCCGCCGAGACGTTGGCGAACAAGACCAAAATGTTTGAGCGGCAGGATCGTCTCATAAAGTCCGTGTGAAGTGGAAAACAATTTTGTTTCTTTTTTTTTATTTATTGATATGCGTGTTTAGGTTATCTCTCTTTTTTTTTAAATATCTATATATCTATATATGTATAGTTGTAGTTCTCCCGATCGTGTTAGTTTCTAGCGTTAGCAACAAAGTGTTTTTTTCTTTGGCATTCAAGTTGTAGTTCTACATAGTGTATTTAAATTTTAACATCTCGAATTTGTAAGTGCTGGAGCTTTACGAGAATTTCTTTTAGTTTAATTCGATATATACATAAAACTATCAAAACAGCTAACTAGTATACATACATATATACTATATACAAAAATATATATATTTACATATATACATACGTACAAAGGTGAAATAACACAAGATGTAAACCTATTGATTTTTCATTCCAATTATTGTATGGTTAATGGCTTAATTGGTTAAAAGGCTAAACAGATTTTCATTTTTTAGCCTTAAATGATGATATTCCCGTACTGAGGTTAACAGCTAAACTAATTGAACTAAATGATTAAAAAGTTAAACATTAACTAAAAAGCAAGAGGGACTGTTACAGCCGAGTTAGTCTGAAAGCAAAATACTCTAAAATATCTCCACTGTGTTACATATATGCGTTATTATCAGCGAGCAAAAAAAAAAAGAAGTGTATCCGGTGCTGCAGCAAAACTAAATAAACTCGTGTTGCCTAGGGACTCGGAGAGCCTATATACCAAGTTTAATCAATGTGGGCTCAGTCGTTTCCAAAATCCAAGCGTTCATCCAGACGGACGGACAGTTCTAGAAAAAAAATGCACATGCAGAGAATGTTAACAAAGATTGAATTTTATTTATACCCGAAATTCGAAATATATAGATCTGTATATAAATAAAATGTAATGAGAGGGCATCTTTAGAAGTTAAAAATTGTTAAAGTTATATAGTTTTATAGAGACGACAAATTGCTTTGGACGATGTTTCCCAAGCTTTGTTGATTATTGCGAATTGGTGTGTGTCTTGGCTAACCGATTAAGGCTTCCAAAGAAGCATTTAAGCCACGCGCCCAACTTCTTATTCATGAAATAGGGACTTTCTTTCCACAGTACCAATTGGTAGTCTTCAACTTAATAATATAGGCTTTGTAATATTCTGAAGAGAAAAGTAACTTGACTTTCAAGAAAATAGATAAACCAAAAAATTTAATTCATCTTAGTATAAGAATGGTTGGAAAATTCTATATATGTAGTTAGTTTTTAAATCGCTTGATAACCATGCGACAAATAATATGTTGGCTTAGTTGGCGACGCAATATCTTAATTCATAGAATAATTTATTAATAATTAGTATTTAGCATATAAGGAAGCAAGAGTCGACTTTTTTTTTTGTCAACATTCTAAACAATATTTTGAAAATAGGAAGCATATACATATGTAATTAAGAAACCTCTTCAAATTACTCTAATTAGATAGTACTACATAAATACATATGTGCATCCATACTTAGCAGTAAGGTTCAGTTCATCAGTTCGTGGTGAATTTTAAAGGTAAGCTACTTGAAATGGTGTGTGCATTGGCTTATTGAACACTCTCTGCCAAAAATATACTCGCTAAGCGGTGGTGTGGAACAAAAATAGTTAGTTAGTGTGCCCAGATGTCAAAAACGAAGAAAGGTGTGGACGACTGCTGTGATAAATGTTCTTTAAATGCTTATATTTATTTAACATTTAATTTGCTTAGATTAAAGTGGCAATATCTCAAGATCTCTGCTGACTGGTTTTTGTATGGCATCAATACGGTAATAAAAAGTCTATAAATAATCCGAAAGACTGTCGAGAATACTTTCTTTGCTATGCTAAATTATTATCTAGGAAGTAAGCTCAATAATAAGTTTTAAAATTTGCTTCTAAGCCGATATTGTTTATAATTGTGTGCCCATAGTTTCCGAAGCTGATCGAAGTTTATATTTTATCTAACAAACAGCAAGGAGGAATAACCTAAAAATTGAAGTAGCTACATCGATTTGCTTTTTAAAAAATAGTTTATATTTTGATAATAATTGAAGCTTCTGGTGATACAATTTTGGATTGGAAATGAAAGTATTAACGGAAAAGGATGATTTTTAAATGGCGCAACGGCGCTAAACAATATTAGTGTTAACAAAGCTATAAGCATAGTACACATGTACTGATTTAATATTAATCCTCTGCTCTTCACACATACATACATAGATACATACATACATACACGGAATGGTTCGTTTGCCCCACATGTTCTTACACATGAAATAAATAGATCTAAATATTGAATAACAAAATGAAAAACGAAACGAAAATACTGAGTCCAAAATATTGAGCTCATTCAGGGCACAAGTCGTGCATGCGCATCATCGCCTGCGTAACCTCCGCCGTACAGCCCGGAGTCGGCGGGATCATTGCCATCGCCTGCCACCATGACATTTGGGACGCTTCCGGTCCGTGACTTCCCCAGCGCGTGTATTTCATCTGCCTATGTTAAGAAAAATCCAGTTCAATTATTGCCAATTTTTTCTAAACTTTGTTTTCACTTACTCTTGCGGTTTCGAGCAGAATCTCCGAGCCCATCTCGTGGGGTGCGGACGGGCGACCGCGCCAAAATCTCTGAATCGACGCCATACCGAATTGCATCGTTTCGCGCTCGGCAGTAAAGGAGGCGGCTGTGGTGGCATGGCTGTTGTTGCTCGTGCTGCTGGTGGCCGTGCTCGTGTCGCTGGCCATTGATTTGCTGCCCAACGTCGCCAGCGGATTCTGGAAATGCAGGTTAATATTGAGATCGCGATGGCCGCGCTGCTGGCGATAGTACATGTACCCGCCCAAGGCGCCCAATATAAGGAACAGTCCAACGACGGTTATCAGCCATATGTGGCTGCTGGTCTTATGCTCCACCTCGCCTCCGTCCATCTTAGCTAACAGTGCACCCTTGGTTATCTCGTTGCGATTAGTGTGGGCGCAATGGGAGCCCTCGGCGATCACCGCATCACCGCACATGCACTCGTATCCGAAGGACGCCTGCACACACATGCCCTTACAGTGAGCATGTTGACAGGGATTCGATTCCGGCATCGGCTGACGGGACTGACCCGCCACTAGAATGTCCTCGGCATTGAGAATGTTCAGGTTGAAAGCCTTGCAAGCGCGGCTAGCATAGAGCTGGCAGCGCACAGCCTCCTTGGAGCCAATGTTAACGATGTAGGCATAGTTCTCGTACACGCTCAGACCTGAGGGATGCAAGACGGCGTTGCCTTTCTGGAGCAATATACGTGGTTTCCGGCTAGGACCACCACGGGTCCGATAGCTTATGGATTCAAGTGTTCGCGTGTGTAGGTCGACATAGTAGAGCATCTGTTTGTGCGGATCCAAGGCGAGGGCCGTCACATAGGAGCTAGACTTGTGCGCGATTGCTTCCCGCTTACTACCATCCAAGCGGGCCATCGAAATCTGTGACTGTGGATGTCCAAAGGACTCCGCACGCACCGTCACATAGAAGAGCCGTCGATGGTAGGCGTCTATGGTCAGGGTTTTGATATTAAAACGCGCCGGGGCATCCAAGATCCGACCGCACATTTTGGCCGTAAAGGAACAGGCGCGAATTTGGTGGGGCGAGGTACGAGATATGACATACAAATTATTGGCTACCCAGTCGAGGGCCATCTTTGTGGGTGATACTACCGATAGGCCAGCCAGCACACGACCTGTGCGCAAGTCTAGTTGATAGATCACATCCTCATCTTCGCTACTAAAGTAGGCCAGCTGCTGGCGCATGTTTATGTCGAAGCCATTGATGCGAGTGTCATTGGCCGACCAGGCAACGCTCAGCGACATTGGTTGCTCGCTCATGTTGCGTACCTCGTTGTAGCTCGTGAAGAGCAATGTGGCCGAGCTCTCGATGCTTTTGCAGCTGACACGATCCTGTCGCAGCATAAAGTCCGGGTAGCACTGACAGCTGTAGCTGCCCAACGTGTTTTCACAGAGCTGAGCGCATGGTTCTTGCTCCGCACATTCGTCCACATCTATGCATGAGCGTAAATCGCTGTCCAGCCGATATCCTTCGAAGCAGGAGCAGACGGCACCGGTGGGCGTGGCGCGACACTTGTGCTCGCACACTGCCCGGCCAGTGGTCGCACGGCAGGCACTCGCACATTGGGGACCTTCATCAATGCCGGACGCACAGTCCGCAAAGCTGTTGCACACCCGAGACATTTCCACGCACTCGCCATCCTTGCAGTCAAACATATGTGGCTTGCAAGCCCGTTCGGTGCTGGTCCAGGGCATGCTGCTATTACCAGTCGCAGTGGCGTTGCGGAAACTGGCACAGTCTAGCTCATCGGAACCATCAACGCAGTCTCGCTCCTTATCACAACGGAAGTCCATGCGAATGCACTGCTTGCTGTCCAGACATTGAAACTCGTAGATGCTGCATACCTCGCCACAGTCATGTTCATCCTCCCCGCGGGGACATTCGGCGGTGCCATTACATTTGACAGCGGGGTCCAGACACAACTGCAAATTACTGCTGCACTGGAACATGGGTGTGGTCTCATTGCCGCAGCTGATGCTCGAAGAGCCAACCGTGGGCTTGCGTCGACCAGTTGCTAAGTCGCAATTAAGCTCATCGGACTGATCACCGCAATCGTTGTGGCCATCGCAAACAAGACGGGCGTCCAGGCATTGACCCAACAGGCAGCGATGCATGTGGGCCGGGCACTCGCGAGTGCCGCACTTGTCATGCTCGTCGGAGGCATCACTGCAATCGATCTTGCCATCGCACTCCCAGCTGCTGGCTATACATGACCCACTGGTGCACTGGAAGAATCCTGCGCCGCAGGGTGGACGCGCATCGGTGCCGGGGCCAATTGGACGCTTGCAGTGGGACTCATCAGAGTTGTCGCCACAGTCGTTACGGCCATCGCACATGACGCTGTAGTCTACACACTTGCCATTGTCACAGGCATGTTGATGATTGTGGCATCGTTTTGTCTTGTCTGCGGAAGCAAGATATATATATGGGCCATAAGGTTATCTGTAGATCTTTGCTCATAACGATAACTTACCAAAGTTTGCACAATGTAGCTCATCGGACTTGTCATGGCAATCCACATGACCGTCACAGCGTTTATCCATCTTCAAGCACTGCAAACTATCGTGACAGCTGAACTCGCTTATGGCACAAATGACCTTCGGGCGTCGCCGATCCCCAATTGCCTCGCAGCCACTTTCATCCGAGTTGTCCGGGCAGTCTTTGCGTCCATTGCAGCGATGTGAGAGTGTAAGGCACTCGCCAGAACGACAGCGGAATTCGCAGTCCAATGCTTCAATACAGCTGCGATTCATAGCATCACGATAAACGAATCCGGCGGGACATAGACAGGCGCTCATGAAGCGGACATCACTGACGCAGACATGCGAGCAACCGCCATTGTTATGCTGGCATGGATGATCCTCCCTACTCACAGGCATGCTTGCCGCCAGAGGAATGCGCGTGGGCAGTGCATGAGCAAAGGCATCCTTCGTTGCCTCGATATCAATGCGTTTTTTGGGTCCCATATTGCTCTTATGAGTCCAATAGACCGCCTGCGACCCCAACTCCGTCCAGAACAGATCTTGGTCGACCAACGCTATCGCATACGGACGTCGCAGCTTGCCGCGGAAGGGATACGCATGCGCGCTGCGATAGTCCGTGAACGAGATGCGTCCCGTATCGCTGTCGGACCAAAAAAGCGTGTGACTAGTGTGATCCGAGGTCATCTTAATATCGTCATCCCCAATTTCATCATCGAAGACATGCGTCTGAGGTCCATGACCGCTCAAGGCTAACTGATCAATGTGCACATGGCGACGAGCTCGCAAGGCTACGTACATGAAACCATCCGCCGGCATAACCGACAGTCCAATGGGTGCCTCCAGACCAGCAAAGAAGCGTACAATGGCGCGCTGATGTGTACGCAGAGACATCACCTCAATCACATGTCGCTCCGCATCGCTCCAATAGAGATTGTGCGCCAGCTCATCAAAAGCTAGAGCTGTCACATTACCAATATTTCCAGTCGTCAGGACTGAGAGCGTGTGCTGTACCGGATCGAACTCAACCAAGGTACGTTGCACATTGTCCGCAATGAATACGCTACCATTGACGCTGTTGTAGGCCAATTCGTTGACCACATACGGCAACGTGTGGTGGGCACTGACCACATGTCGGCCGAAGGCCGTGTGCTCGATCTCTAGGAGTACATTGCGCAAACCCACAAAAAGGCGTTGGCGCTTTGCGGACTTAACACAGCGTCGCTGATCCTCGGATAGACGCATGCCGTCGGGACAGGCACAGGTAAAGCTATTACTTTCCGCAAGTAGACAGAGGTGCGAACAGCGCGAAGAGAGACAGGCGTGGGAGAGCCTAGGCTGCTTGGCTGGATGATATACGTGCACCGCATAGATGGTCCGATCGCGTGTAATAACACGATGTCGCTTTCCCGTAAACTTGTCGCACACATGGACGCTCTTCGTGCCCCAATCCGACCAGTACAGGTCATCCTCGAACAGGGCCAGGCCATAGGGATGTTTCAGCATGCCATCGAGCACTGTATGGCGTCCTGTGCCGTCCGATCGTACGCTCTCAACAGTGCCCAGCTTGGCATCCACCCAGTAAATTCGCTCCTGATGCATATCAAGCGCAATGCCATTGGGCCAATGGATATTCTCCGTGACAATTGGTAGCGAGTGCATGCCATCCATAGAGGCACGTGCTATCATTGGCTTGCTCCCCCAGTCTGTCCAGAACATCTGTCCACGTTGTGGCCAAAGCGCAATGCCTCTCGGCTGATGTACATCTTTGGTAACGAGAACCACACAGGTCATGCCATCGTTGGAGCAGACAGCAATGTGCCGCATAATGTTGTCCGAGAAGTAGATATTGTCGGTTAGCCAGTCAACGGCAAGGTCCTCGGGTGCATCCAGGCCAGACGTTAGCAATATTTCGGCCATGCTGCCATCGGGCTTGGCTCGCACAATGCTCTCAGCTTCGTTCTGTATGTTGGTCCAATATATGTAGCCCCCATCATAGGCCACTCCAATCACTTTCGTCAAATTGCTGGCCACTGTGAAAACGCGCTGTTGGCGTAAATGAACGCCCATAACCGCCATCTGGGTGGTGTAGAGCAACAGAGGTTCCTCCTCACCCTGACCGCGACAGGTGCGGTTGTTTGCGTCCAGCTGGTAGCCAGAGGCGCAGGTACATCGATAACCACCGGAGGTGTTCTCGCAACTCTGGCTACAAACATCTTCGCGCTCTTGACACTCGTTCACATCCTCGCATACATTTTGAAAGCGCGCCTGGCGAAAACCTGGTGGGCAATAGCACTCAGCTCCGCTGGTGGGCATCATCTGGCACTTGGCTCCGGCCGGACACTGCTTGCTACTACAGTCTGGCTTGGCATGACAGCTTTCTGACTCATCGCTACTGTCCGTACAATCGGCCTTGCCATTGCAAACGAGATCTAGGCTCAAACAGGCCGCCTGATTGCGACACATGAACTTTCCGAGCTCCGGCTTGCAGAGTTCCACTGTGAAAGGGTCGAAGAGTATTTTATAAATCAAGCTAACTAGGCTAAATAGATTCAGAGCCACTTAAAACAATTTGCTATGAAAATATTGATAGAGTACGTGTCTTAATCGTCATATTTTGATTCTACAAATTGTTTAATTTTTGTAAGCTTCACTGTTGTTGGGCTATTATCGTCATGAAAAACTTGTGAATCTCGACAAATCCGTGGGCAAATTATTTGCTAAACTGACCAAACATTACATACTTCTTGACTCTTTTATAATAAACATTATTTGGGAAAGCTGGACACTTACCGCAGCCATGCTCATCGCTGCCATCACCACAGTCATCAACGCCGTCACACACCCATTGCTTGCGCTCCAGGCACTTGTTATTGCTACAAAAGAATCCTGTGCATTTGGTCTGGGCTTGTTTGCAGCCATCTAGCTCATCGGAGCCATCGCGACAGTCCCGCTTGCCATCGCACATAAAGTCCAGGGGTATGCAGGATCGTTCCGTCTGACAGGTGTACTCGTAGACGCTGCAGTTGCGCTTCGTGTTGCCCGTTGGCTTGCTCCCGCCTGGCCGTTGGGGTCGTTCGGGGCAGTCTAACTCGTCCTCACCGCCGGGACAGTTATCGATGCCGTTGCATTTTAGTTCTGCCGATAGGCAGGCACCGTGTGGCTGGGCACACTGGAACCAATGCGGCTGGCGGCACAGCTTGTAGTCTAAGGGTGAGTGTAAAGAGTGAGGCATATAGATTAGAAATGAGTTCGTAACAACAGATAAATTTTAGAGGAACTTAGGACCCGCCCCAACATGAATATGTGCCACACACATGTGCATATAACAACCAAGCGAGCATCACACTGCCTCCACAAACAACCATGGGCAAGCTTAAGATAAGAGCATTGCGGTCAACCAACCGTTTCTGATATACACGCATCCACCCAGCGATAAGATATTTTTAGACACAATTGTCAGAAGCACCCAACTAGTACCCCACCACGTAGGGAAAAAGGGTATATTAGGTTTGTGCAAAGTATATATTTTGTTGTATATATATTCTGGATCAGCAGGACGAGAGAAATCGATCCAGACATGTCCGTCCGTCCGTCCGTCTGGATGAACGCCTGGATTTCGAAAACGGTCGATCGCACATTAACCAAACTTGTTATACAAGTATAGACGTTCCTGGTTCCTAAGCTACACGAGTTTATTTTATTTTTTTGATTTTCCCCTCCCCTCCCCTTGCTACAGAATTTCGTCAATACTGTTCACATTTCAAAAACAACATAACTGAAATACACGTATCTTTTATATAAATATCTACTTTTGTTTGAAATTTCATCAAAATCGGTCTATCCGAAGAAAAGTTATTAGCGAAACAATTTCACTCTAGTACTACGCCCACAATCTGCAGCACTAAGTTTGCTTTCTTCTTCTTTATTGAAAATTCTGAAATCATTAAGTTATTTACAGCAGAACCTGATTCTTCGATTTTATTACAAATTAGATCGGATGTTTAGAGACCCATGTAGAGGATAATGGCCACCCACCAGCGAAAGAACCTGCTTCGGATTAGCACTCAAGCAAATATCTAGCTTACAATGGATAAATGGATAATTCCCTAGCTTTCCATTAGTTTACTTAATTTTGAGAGTTGTGGCAAAATTCTTCTCAATTCCGCTATTATATCAACTAAATGAAGATGATCTTGTTTTTACAAATTAGTTAGACTAGTCTGTGCTTTATATTTGTTGTTTTGAAATGGATTAGATGGCACACTTTTTGGGTAAGCCACATGAATGCAGTTGTCAATATAATCCCCGTAATACTGTAATCCCCCACTATGAAGAACTCACCGCATTCCAATTCGTCTGTGTTGTCTGGGCAGTCTCGACGTCCGTCGCACATCTTCGCCTGTAAGATGCAGCTTCCGTCTCTGCACTGGAATCGGTCTGCATCGCACCGCGTGTTCGCTGATCCCGGCGTGGCGGCAGCAGGCGAACCGCAAAGGAGCAACAGCAGGGCAGCGAGGCGCAAAAGGCGATGCCACGGGCAGGTCCTTCGTAGGAATTGCACTCGCACATGGCAATGGGACTGATGATGATGGTGTTGATGGCGCAGCAGTTTTAAAGTTTCGGCCCTGAAATAAAGCACGTTGCACTTTGTGAGGTTATGTTAATGTAATATTCCTAAATAGATGCGACGTACATTCGATTGCCCGCTATGGTTGTTTCAACGTTTTGTTATCCACAAATGTCTATTTTCTGCATTTAAGTATTCATATGTGTGTGTTTTAAATTAAGACGGCATTCATTGCACATTAAACATGAAACAAATGTAACAAAAAACGCGTCTACACGAGAAAACAAAAACAAAAAATACAGAATCCAACAAAACGTGTTGAAGTCTTAAAGCGAACTGAACTCGAGCTTGGGTTGCAAAGAAATTCTCGCACTTACACACACACACACACACACACACAGTGCACACGATTTATGCGATTGCATGCGAATCCGTTACAAAATGCCGTTAGAGTTGCAGCTTTGATGCGACAGCGCCCTCTGCCGCCTGCTAATGTGGACTTTGCACAAATCAAAGCTCTTGAGCTTGCAATTTTTGACAGCGCGCTGTCCGTCTGTCTGTTTGAATTATTTAAGCATTGAAATGAAAATTAAAAATAATTTATGGCGTTCACTTGCGCGGTTATTGTGGTACCAAATACATTTTTATACTAATTGGCACGCATGCGTCACTTCACCCAACTGGTATTGTTATAAAGGCTATAAAGAAAAGTGTTAAGTGTACAAATGTACATACATATACATACATACATACATACATACATACATACATACATACATACATATGTACGTATGCACAAGCGTGTGAATAGAGCAAGGCCTCAACATCTTGTGTTTTAATGACGTGATAAAGCTATGGCTAGTGGGCGGTCAGGGGAAAGAGAAAATCATGCTGTGCGAAGTTATGTTATTTGTTGCTTTCCTCTTCCCACTCTTTTGTTTTCTATATAGTACATACACCGAAAAAAATATGTATCAATATCAATTTAATATTGGTTGGTCAAAATAAAAGAAAAATGCAAAAATGAATAAATTAATCCAAATATCATATTAATAGGCAAAAAATAAAATTTTTATATTTTCTAAAATATGAAAAATAATATCGATGTAAATATTTGATGGCTAGCGTACTAGCTTAAAAGTAAACTAATACAACTAATTCTGTTTTTACACGATATATTAGTTCCTTTTAATGCTAGGATAGAGATTACAAATAAAATAAATAAATAAATAAATAATTAAATAAAATTGATTCACCTTGGATGTATTTTTTTTGTGTATATAGTATGTATACTTATGGTATATCGTATATCTGCATGAATTTTGCTTTCGATTAAAAACTGCGCGAATTACCAATTTCGAGTGCCTGGGGCTTTGCTGAGATACACATATAAATTGCAGCTAATGAATCGCAATAAACACAAGTACCTCCAAATGTATTTAGTGTTCATTAGTTTATAATTCGATTTGGCCAATTAGCAAACCATATTAGGCGTAAAGTAGGTGAATAAGTATAATAAGTGTGGCAGCGATTTATTTGAAATGGAAAACAATTATCCATTTGTGCCTTTAAAAAATTGCAGTATGTCTGACAGAAATCAAAAGGACGGATTTTTAACAATAATAACTTTAACTATAAGTATGACGACGATCAAGTTTATTTGTATGTATATATGTATTATATTATAATATGCAATAAAAATACTTTAATAGAAGTACTGTTAGTAAATTTGAAATTAATTATTTATCTATCTATCTATCTATCTATCTATCTATCTGTCTATCTATCTACCGATCTATCTATCTATTGATAAGCCCACATCTATACAGATTTAATTTGAAATAAAATGCATTGCTGCTTGCTTATTTCTCATATTTTTGCGATCGTGCGATCATTAGTAATTCCTGAGAATGGGTTAAACATGATGCAACAGTCACTCATAAGTGAAGTAGTATGGGTATGTAAGGCACTCTTAGGATTGATGGCATCAATATATCTAATTAATTTGTATATATATCTTGCCGATCTAAGACACGTCTGGCTCATCTGGCCCCCGTCCTTGTCCTGCCCCCTCTGCCCACGAGATATGATAAATTTGCTTTTGCCGGATGATCCATAATCGTAACCGCAACTGCAACCGCAACCGAAACCGCAACCGGGTGGCACTTCAGCTCCGAGATTCTGACAGTGCTAGACTCGAAAACAATTAATAACGGTTGTACGTTAGATTTATGAGCAGGGCCATATAAACAAGAGCTAAGTCGGCAGCATAGCCGACAAATGTCATAAAAACAAGGCACGACGAAGCGCTTAGAAGCAAATATTGTGGTAAAAAATAATAACAACTTTTAAAAAGAGCTCTAAAAATAAGTTAAGCAAAAAGTCCAGAGACACTGACACGGACATTTTTCAAAATACTCGTGTATATATAAATTGTATAATTAGAGAAAAAGAGCGCGCGACGATATTGGCGGGCTGCTGCTGTTGCTGGGAAGCAACCTGCTAGGATGAAAAAGGGGCTGCGGGGGTGTGGCTGTCATAAAAATATACATATACACATATATATGTATGTACATTTGTTTTTTTTTTTTGTTGAAGCCACAGACGTGGTTTTTCCATGGCAAACCAATTTTGGGGTTTGTTTGTTCGTTTGTCTGTCTGCCTGCCTGTCTGAGCTTTTTGAGGTCTCCGATGTGGCGAGTCGTGGGATAGCAGCAACAAAAATAAAAACAAAAACATTAATAGCAACAACAACAACAATAACAAAATATTGTCGTCCATACATGCTGCGCTTTTTAAGTGATGTGAGTAATGAGCTTTGTCTGCCGACACAAGCGATTTTGGTTTTTGGCATTGCCGATGTTGTTGTTGTTGTTGTTGGTGTCGTCTCTGGGGCGAGGCGTTAAAATTAGTTGTAAAATATCTGAGCGAGTAATATATTTCACTTAATAACATCTCAAGTCGGTTGCCTTAGAAAACGTATAAAATGCAAAGTCTCTGATCTTATGGATCACAGTCGTTCGACTCCATTGGCATCGTGAACAGCAGAAGACATCCGCTGCAAGATATACCCAGAACCACCTTTAAGGATCAGCAATACAGCAACAATATGGCAAGTAGTGGTGGATCGAAAAAATAACAACAAAAGCATATGAAAAGTGATTTCAAACGGGCTATTGTCCATCGCATACTTTGAAAGAAGTTTGCAAATAGAAAAACCACAGAATTAGAGTTTAAAAAATTGGGATTAATCAGCAAAATAATCGTGAGGAGTGACTTTATAAAAAAGTCCTTTAAAGGTACATTTTTTTACGCATAGGTGGACTGACTTGTGATTTCGTAAAGTGATTTAAAAAAAAAAACAATGCAGACAAATTGATAACCTCCTATTTTTTTTCAAGTGAGTTAATAAATGTGAATTATACAATTGAAAAAAATTATCAAAACAATCGAGGATAGAACCATTAATAAAGCTTACTTGTGATTTTGTAGACTGCCTTAAAAGTAAACACGAAAATACAGCGATTTAGTAGAACAACAACAACAACAAAATCACTTGCAAATGATTTTGTAAATAATCTACAACAGTTCTAAGAAGGATTCTTTGAAAAAACAAATTTCACAGCAATTATTTGTTTGAAGCAATTATTCGGCGACTTTATGATTTAAAAAGTCACCAAGGGAGGGAGTCCTTTAAAAATCATTACAAAGGGGAATGTTTACAAAAAAGTGTTTTCTTGTTTGGGTACAAACGTAAACGTCCGATTTGAAGTCTTTAGAAATTCATTTCTTTTTGTCCTGCTGCGAATCAGCCTGCGGATTTGGCGATAACATGACAAATTGACAAATTTTGTTATATAAGACCACTCTTACGGAATTTGAAGACTGTGCGTAATTTTTAAATCTTTCTCTTTATACGATGGTGGGAAACGAATTCACATTGTGGCCACAGAAAAAAATGTGATTTTGAAAAAAGTATTTGAATGAGTTCTTGTTAAAAAGCAAGCGCCATACTTGATTTGCGAAACCAACCCATAGAAAAAATGGTTTTATAAATACGATATATACATTTATAGATATATAAACTTTCCGTTCTTAAGAGTATAAAGCCATCTTTACTTTCTCATAAATGAAATAATGAATCGTCAAGTTTAATTAAAAAATTCAATGATTGTCCACGATGGACACTTTTAAATAAAAACACTGCTAATACAAAAAAAAAAAAAAACTCAGTTGTGACACCAATTCTATAAAATTCTATATACTCGTGTAAGGAAACAACACGCGAGTTTCTATTATTTGTTCAGTGGAGTCAACAATTCATAATCGTTTATTTGCTTCCCCCACAGCACTGCATTATCGGCATCGCTTTGCTCGCCTCGGTGGCGCTTTGTGGCGCGGATGTCTCGCACTTATCGCGCAGCTATCTGCCACCCGCTAGCGGCGGCGTCAGCAGCTATGCCTCGTATCCGAGCTACAGCAGCGGCCTGGCTAGCAATGGAGCTTACGCGGGTGGTTACTCGAGCGGTGCGTACACGGGTGGCTATTCGGGTGGTGGCTATGCTGGCGGCAACGCATACTATAGCTCGGGCTCGGGCCTCGGCTCCGCCTACAGCACGCCCCTCCTCACCTCCAGCTATAGGAGCTACGCAGCTCCCCAATACAACAACTATGCCACGCCCTCGCGCGCCTATCTCGCGCCAGTGCAGAACTACGTCAGTGCTCCGGCCGTGAGCTACAGCAGCGGCCTGGATACCAAGTACGCCGACAATGGTGGCTATGTCTATTAGATGTGGGCTTCCCTTACATCTTACCAATTTCTTATCTAGCCTAAATTTTGTATTTTTTTTCCATTAACTGTTATACACGTACTTCAAAATAATAATAAAAAATGCGTTATGTCAAAACATATTAGTACTATACTGGAGAAGCTCTTTGGAAGTACGAAAAATTGTGTGGGATATTGAAATGATATTGTTTTTTAGCAATCTTTTAGAACTGTCTATCGAGATATTAAGGAGTCGGCCTCACTTGGTGTTATAATAGCTCTTCCATCGATAGATGGTATTCCTTCGAGTTCTTGCTTTCAGTTTGAATTTTGCAGGGACTGTACTCATTATAAGTGTTATTATAAAAATAATGGTGAGATTTGAATTTTATTCATTCTCTCAAAATACGATAATTTAATCTTTTATCTTTATTTAAATTATGTCCGGTTGGACATGAATGAATGGTTTTTTCACTTTAAAAACAAAAAATAATCATTATTTGCTATCCCTGGAATTTTGTCTTCAAGCAATATTACGATAGATCCATAGAAAACAACAAAACCTACAATTTAAAATATTTTCTGTCCCATTATTAGGTTCAACAAATGCCACAACGTTTAGAGTTGGTGAAAATGGCTCGTAGGGCTATTGGTGCAAAAATCAGTCCGCCAATCAGTAGAGAATTGTCTAAAATGAATCTACAATTACATTTTATATTATTTATTTGTACTAACGATAATAATATATCAATCTAGCGATATTAAGAAACACTATATAATTAAGCTACTTATGAAAAGCTAATTAGGGAAAAACAGCTCTACATATAACTTTGAAACTATCGGTAAAATATGGTAAAAATATTCGCTACTGATAAGGAATCACAACCCGGCTTACCTAAGTTCATGTTTTTCTTATGAGTGGAGCTTTCTGTATACGATTTTTTACATTTTTCTCATAGTACTGGAATAAAATTTTTCATTTCACGACAAGTCACAAATGGAATCAAATTCTTGATGAAAACAAGTAATATTTGTGGTATACGTTTATTTATTCATTTTGAAGAACAATTCTAATATTTTACACTGAAAAAAGAAGTATGTCTGTGAGTAAAATTTTTCATTTAACGACAAGTCACAAATGTAATCAAATTCTTGATGAAAACAAGTAATATTTGTGGTATACGTTTATTTATTCATTTTGCAGAACAATTCTATTATTTTACACTGAAAAAAGAAGTATGTCTGTGAGTAAAATTTTTCATTTAACGACAAATCACAATAGGAATGAAATTCATGATGAAAAGAAGTAATATTTGTAGTACACGTTTTTATACCCTGTACCCAAAAGGGTACAAGGGTATATTAGTTTTGTGCGAGTGCACATGGAACACACAGAAGGAGGCTTGGTAGACCCCACAAAGTATATATATTCTTGATCAGCATGACAAGCCGAGTCGATATAGCCATGTCCGTCTGTCCGTCTGTCTGTCCGTCTGTCCGTCTGTCTGTATGAACGCAAGGATCTCCGAAAGTATAAGAGCTAGAATAACCAAACTTGGTATACAGATTCTCCTGAGACCGAGAAAGGACGAGTTTGTTCATTTTTTCTGATCCACCCCCCCACTCCCCCCCTATTAACGATTTTCTATAACTCCCGTAATTCTTGGAATTTTGAACTAAAATTTGGTAGTCACATTAGGTTAGTTATTATATAACCGTATACCAAGTCTCATTATGATAGAATGATCGGAAAGAAAGTTATAGCCATATAACCAGGCCCAATGCACACATACATACATATGTACAAGTACACAAACATGCATAAGGCACGATTCTGATGTAAATGTAAATGTATGTATGCATGCATGGAATATTTTATATTTAATTTAGTTAATTAATTAAATTAATTTAGTTAATTAATTAAATTTAATTAATTAATTAATTTAATTACTTTTTTGAGGGGTGGTACAGGGTATTTAAGAGTTGAGCCTGCTCGACTTTAGCATTCCTTTCTTGTTTTATTCATTTTGAAGAACAATTCTTATATTTTACACTGAAAAAAAGAAGTATACCCGTGAGTTAAATTTTTCATTTAACGACAAATCACAATAGGAATGAAATTCTTGATGAAAAGAAGTCATATTTGTGGTATACGTTTATTTATTCATTTTGCAGAACAATTCTTATATTTTACACTGAAAAAAAGAAGTATACCCGTGAGTAAAATTTTTCATTTAACGACAACTCACAAATGGAATGAAATTCTTGATGAAAAGAAGTAATATTTGTGGTATACGTTTATTTATTCATTTTGCAGAACGATTCTAATATTTTACACTGAAAAAAAGAAGTATACCCGTGAGTTAAATTGTTCACTTAACGACAACTCACAAATGGAATCAAATTCTTGATGAAAAGCATAAATCAATTAGTAATATTTGTGGTATACGTTTATTTATTCATTTTGCAGAACAATTCTAATATTTTACACTAAAAAAAAAGAAGTATACCCGTGAGTAACATTTTTCTTTTAACGACAACTCACAATAGGAATGAAATTCTTGATGAAAAGAAGTAATATTTGTGGTATACGTTTATTTATTCATTTTGCAGAACGATTCTAATATTTTACACTGTAAAAAAGAAGTATACCCGTGAGTTAAATTGTTCACTTAACGACAACTCACAAATGGAATCAAATTCTTGATGAAAAGCATAAATCAATTAGTAATATTTGTGGTATACGTTTATTTATTCATTTTGCAGAACAATTCTAATATTTTACACTACAAAAAAAAATCAAATTCATTTTAAAAGCTATGGGAAAAAAATTCGGATTGTTTTGTGCCGTGTCCTTTGAAAATTAACGAGATCTCTTCAGTGCCTGTGGCGGTATTCATAGCCACCATTTGAAGCATAGCGAGTGCCGCCATAGCCACCGCTGCTGGCACCACCTCTGCCAAAGCCACCGCCGCCGAAGCCACCAGCGCTATAACCACCGCTGCTGGCACCACCTCTGCCATATCCGCCGCTGCTGTGGCCAATAGAGTTGCCGAAACCACCACCGCCGCCATAACCACCGCTGCCGTAACCACCACCGCTTGAGCCACCATAGCTGCGGCTTGCCGAAGCAGCATGGCTGCGCCCAGCGGAGTAGGATGGGGCTGACGAATAGCCGCTGGAACGTGCGGGCGCCGAGTAGGAGGAGGCTTGGGAGGCAGCTGGTGCTAGATATTGTCGGGATGGCGCTGAGGCAGCTGATGCCGAGCCATACCTTCCTCCACGGCCACTGGCACCGCCAAAACCACCGCCATAGCCACCGCCATGCGACGAAGCAGCTGGTGCCAGATATTGGCGCGAAGGGGCAGCCACAGGTGCCGAGTAACTGGCGTGGGAGGCGGAGGCCGCCGATCCATGACTGGAGCCACCGCCATGGCCGAAGCCAACAGCACCACCAAAGCCGCCGGAGCCACCGGAGCCGCCGAAGCCTCTGTTACCACCGAAACCACCGGAACCACCGTGAGAGCGGCCAGCATACTGGCCTCCCCCGCTGCTGGGTGGTAAGTACTTGGCCGATGGGGCCGAAGCGGCAAACGAAGTGCCGCCGGCAGCCGATGCCGAAGCCGCGTTGTAGCTGCTGCGAGCGTTCTGCTGGGGTGGCAGGTACGTGTTGCTCAAAGGACTCGCCACACTGAGGGCGGCCAGAGCCAACAGCCCTGCAGAAGTGCCAAACGGACGCTGCAAAGAGAAGCCGCACAGCCAGTGTGGTCTCAGTTTGTGGTTGTTGTTGTGGTTGTTGTTGTTGTGTGGTTCGTACACTTACCATGGTGCTAGTAGTAGTGCTTGGGTTCTTGTTCTTTCGTCTTCTTGGCTGTGATGCCAACTGATGAAGATTGCGCAATGGAGAGCCACTTTTATAGCGCCATCAAACAATTGCTGTCCAAAAAGACGTACGCCCCTAAGCAGACATAGCAAGAAAAAAAGACAAAAATTAAAAAAGAAATACGAAGAAAAATAAAGAATCAACACAACTTAACGTAGAGTTCTTGCCATTACTCTTGTGGTTGTTCTTGTGACGACGGTTGTTGTTGTAGTTGATGTTGTCTTTTCAATTAGCAGCAGAACAGCACGATAGTAGGATTCTCAACACCAAACATCGGTTTACCATTCATTTTGTTATTGTTTGTTGTTTTTGTTATTTTTAGACGAGATTCGAAAGTTAAATTAATGATGCGTTTTTTGCCGTCCGCTAATCGCGTGTCGTCTGGCTTGGCCTAAGCCGCCAAAACGTTTGACCAAAAATAAAAAACCAAACGAAACCCTCAATCGCAAATAATGGGGGAAAAAAAGGCAAGTATCCCCATATGCCAGGCACCTCCATAGACGGGAGGATCGTGACTCTTTGGGGCCAGCGAGCCATGCACTTGTCTCCAGACTCAAAAGCCGTCCTCATCGTCATCGCCATTGCCATTGCCATTGCCATGCGAGCCAAGAGCAGGTTGCTGGTCTAAAATTAAAAACAGCGATTACTCACTAAAATTTATAAACTAATAGACATTAATTATAATGATGTGGCGTGTTGTGTATTTATATCGAAGTACTACGAGCAGTTGGTGGGATAATAAAAGAAAAAAAAAAAAAAAAAATGAATAAAATGAAAATTTTTATGGTACTAGCCAATGGTAAGTAGCTGGGAATTTCAGCAAGTCGTCCACTCCACTATTGGACTTGTGCTTTGATAGTTTTAGGTGCGAGTGGGAAGTGGAGAGTAAAGAGACAGATGTCTCTATTATGGTACACCGAAAACAAAAATCACAATGACACCAAGATTTATTTATCTGATAGTGGCAGGTGGTAGGAGAAAAATAGTTTCATTTTGGTTTGATTTTAATTTCATTTTAATGAGAACTATCTTTTATTATGAATTCTATTCAATAGTTGAGCTTTGCATAACAAAGATACGTTACTTCATCACCTATTTTAAACACTAAGTTCCAAGCATACGCATAGTGTTAAGAATAATTTAAACTAAATCTGGAAAGAAACTAAATCATGCCTAAAATAGTGATATCATTTTTGTACCATAAATTGAAGGGAAATAGACACTCAAAAAAATAATTGCCTAATAAAAATGAATACTTTTATATTATATTATATTTTCATAATCAAATTCATGCTCTATTATTTCGTATTTAAATCAAATATAAACTACGTTAATTTAACTAAAAACATATGCAATTACTGATTTACATATGAATAATATTTAAAACAAAGTGTAAATCTTTGTTATCGTCATATTTAATTTTAATATGCGCCCCCTTTAAATAACAAGTAGTTAATAATAAAATAATAAACAATTCTGATATTTTTCTCTACTTTAATTTTATATTTTTTGTAGTTGATTTATATATACTAGAAATTTGTAACATTTTAATATTTTTTAAGTTAATTCGAATACTTTTAAATGTAAAATGGAGCCAAACATTGACTAGAATTCCCAAGTCGGTTTTCGGCGGTTGTGTGTTATAAAGACGAATTGTATCCAATCAGCTTTTCCCCACTTTTAACATCAATATTTATCTATGCTATAAATAGCGGAAAGCTGAACATGTTTTTTAATATCAAAAGAATTTGGAAAAAATACTTTCTAATAAAACTGTTTCTCAATATAAATAATACTATAATAGCTCTAAACTCTATAAGCTACTTACCATTTGTAATTTTAAGTGAAATTAATAATAATAATAATAATAATAATAATAATAATAATAATAATAATAATAATAATAATAATAATAATAATAATAATAATAATAATAATAATAATAATAATAATAATAATAATAATAATAATAATAATAATAATAATAATAATAATAATAATAATAATAATAATAATAATAATAATAATAATAATAATAATAATAATGTAATAATATAATATATATATATAATATAATATATCACTAATAAAAACAATTTATACAGTTTTTAGTAAAGTAGACAAAGGGGAGAAAAAATATTTTCTAATTTTAAAAAAGAAACCTTTGGCGTTACTCAAACCCACATACACTTTAAATTTAAGATTTTAATATTAAACTCGTGTAATAACATACGTACTTTTTATTATGAGTTTTTATTAATTATTTATTAACTTTTATGACACTCAATCTTAAAACTTGAACTTATACTGATTTCTTACATTTTACTTAAAATGAACTTAGCTAAGGCCTCGTAGCTGCGCTGCCAGAGACGCCGGCAGCGGAGCGGCCGCATTATGTATTTTACTTATGTATTTGTACTCAGCGCTGTTGGCAGCGAGAGCGCGAGGGAGAATGTTATGTGCACTTGAGGTGGCTGACACTAGTTGCACTGACGCTGCACTTATGTCGCCCAATGCATGTGCGATCATATTACATCGCGTCCGAATTATGCTTGGCTTTTTTTGAATTAATTTATTCACTGCAATAAAGTGTTACAGTGTATGTTCTTAAGAGTGCACTGCGTACAGTGTGTACTCCTTATGTATGCACACTACATCTCCCTCCTTTTGAAAAATAACGTAATATTATGAAGTTATTTTCTAAATTATTTATCTATTAATTTCATGTATATCTAGTTATGAAATATGTTTATATCTTTATGATTCGTTTCTTATTAATCTATTTGTTTTGTTTGTTTAATAATGTTTTTAAAGGGAAAATTGATATATGTATGTATATACTTATTTGTATGTATAAATTTTGTTGTTTTTTTTTTTTTTATCTTATTTTTATTTTATTTTATTATTTTTTTTTTTTTATATGTATATGTATATATATATATTTTTTTCTTTCTATTATTATTTTTTTTCGATGGAATCATAGAAAATTGATGTATATTTTTTTTTGTATTTATTGATATTTATATATATGTATTTATGCTTGTGTATGGCCATACTTCAAGTTACGAATTAAAAATCTTTAACCTATCCTTATGTACTGTTTGTTTTTTGTCTTTATTATTTGATATTATTATGTTATTATTTTCTTCTACTTTTTCTACCTTATATGGTCCTGTATATTTAAAATCTAGCTTGTGACCTGTTTCATTTTTCAATAGAACCTGGTCTCCTATTTTTAACTTCAGATCTAAACTATTCTTGTCATAACTAATTTTCTGTTTATGTTTATTTGACTCTAGCATTAATCTTGCTCTTTTCAAAGCTTGTTCTATCCTAAACTTAGATTCCTTAGCATAATCTTCTATATTGTAAAGTGGTTCTATTCTATCTATGCTATTGAAATACTCTGGTAAATTTGAGGTTCTACCAAAAACTAGCTCATATGGACAGTAATCATGTGCCATTGAGGGTGTAGTATTAAAAGAATATACGAAGTACTGTAACCACACATCCCAATCTGATTTGTCGACTGAGATGTATGACCTGATGAACTCATTAAATGTTCTGTGGCTTCGCTCCACGGTTCCTACAGTCTGGTGATGATGTGCAGTAGATGTTATGTTTTTAATATTTAGATTTTTACATAAATCTTCAATTATTGAATTCTTATACTCTGTTCCCATGTCCGTAATGAACGTCTTCATTGGACCGTACTTCAGAATAAAATGTTCAAATATAGCCTTGGCTACTGTCTTTGCACTTTTGTTCTCTATTGGTATGGCTACAAGGTATTTTGTTAAATCGCAGATTAAAGTTACTGCGTATTCATTTCCTTTTTCTGACCTAGGTAGTGGACCGATCGTATCCACAATTACCCTATCGAAAGCCTTTATTGGCGTATCTGTTATTATCAATGGGGCTCTGGTATGTTTAGTCGATTTCGACTTTTGACATTTTCGACATTTTTTTATATAATTTGTAATGTCTCTTGTTATATTTTTCCAGTAATAATGCCTTTTTATTTTTGCCATTGTTCTTGCTATACCCGTATGGCCTCCTTGTATTGGATCGTCATGGAATGTAAACAGTATTGCTTCTTTTTCTTTTTCTTTATTTATTTGGGTCACCGGCTTGAGTAGCGCTACTCTTAATGATTTCAATATTTTATTGCCCATTTCTTTAAAAGATTCTATTGAAGTTGTTTCAAAAATCTTTTCGCTCGGTGCCACTTTGAGTCGGCTGATATTAAGCACACCGGCTTGCCTTTCAAGCCTTTGGAAGAACTGACCTAAGTCGAGAATTCCATTGGAGTACATATCGCTAACATCAATTCTTGCTATGACTTTTTTTCCATGCTTTAGTAAACATGTTGAATCTGTCGTACGCAAGGTCACTACTTTTCGTACCTCGTCATTTATAATGACTTCGTATACGTTGGGCTTTGAAGCTTTATTTTTAGTTTGCTTATGCAAATCTACTTTGTCTTTCTCTGCGCAGAGACTTTTCTGTTTACTTTGATTTCTTGTAGTGACTTTTAGTATTTTGTTTCCTTTATGTATATCTTTTAAGTCTGTTATAGTTATTCTCGACAACGCATCTGCTATATGGTTGTCTTTTCCCTTGAGGTATTCAACTGTGAAATCATACTCCTCTAAGTCAAGTCTCATGCGCGTCAGTTTTGAGCTCGGGTTCGTCATTGAAAACAAGTAAGTTAAGGGCCTATGATCGGTTTTGACTGTGAAGTGTCTGCCATAAATATATGGTCGAAAATGGTTTATTGCCCAATGGATGGCTGCCAGTTCTTGCTCCGTTGTATTTTTGTTACTTTCCCCTTTTGTAAACGATCTTGATGCATACGCTACTGGCAGTTGTGTCCCATTATGATTTTGGGTCAGTACAGCTCCACAAGCTTGTTTACTCGCATCCGTCGTTATGCAAAATTC